CCTTGTGCTGGAGGACTCAAAACTTTCGCAGCACATCTCGTTTGAAAGTCTCTCGTGCTGGAGGACTCTAAACTTTTGCAGCACTTCTTGTTTTGAAAGTCCCTTGTGCTGGAGGACTCTAAACTTTTCGCAGCGCCCTTGATTTGTACTCTAGTGTTAAAGGGCTACAGGCCCTTGTAACATAGGTCCCTCGTGCTGGAGGACTCTAAACTTTCGCAGCACATCTTGTCTTGAAAGTCCCTTGTGCTAAAGGACTCTAAACTTTTGTAGCACCCTTGTTTGAGATGCCTCTTTTGCTTCGTCTTGTTTTGCTACGGACGGTTTACCGCGTGGATACGTTGCCGGAATGTTATTATTTGTAATATGTGATGCTAGTAAGTGTCCCTTGAAGCTTTGAAGATCTGTTAGATGGACGAGGTCGCTAGGGTTTCATTGTTGCTGTTGTAGTCTGGTTCGGTGATTTTCAAGTGAAGACGACGAATTTGAAGGTGTTCGGTTCTCAGATTTTCTAGAGTATAACTACTTCAAAGCAGTTGTTTTCGAGTTTTTGGACGATTGTAGGATTGCATGATTAATGTAACAACCCTCATTTTAACTTAGTCATACTAGCATACATTTATGGATGATCTTGTTTTAATATGTGCAATTGCAATCTTGTCTTGTTTTGCTTGAACGATTGCTTACATGTTTTGTTCTCGTCTGGTGCGTTGCCGAGGTCACCTTAAGCCTAGACACCTTCGAGACCTTTGTCACTTAGAACTATCTTGGAACCCCGTTGGTTGACCTCTATCTTCGCCCTGGCATATTGGTCGAGATGTCACCATCTAGGCCGAGGTGCGCGTTGCCTAGGCCGAGATGTGTATCATCTGGGCCGAGATGTTAATACCTAGGCGTTCTAGATCCTTGATCCTTGCAGGAGTGATTTTGTTCCTAGAATGGTATGACCTAGACCGAGGTGTGGCACAAAATCTAAACTTATTTCTAAACCCACTTATTTGGAACTTTGAAACTTTCTGGCCCTTTTTGGAACTTTATAAACCCACTGATTTTTGGAACTTTTTGTTCAATCTGATTTTTTTTCAATCTAAACTTTCTATGATTTTTGGAACTTTCTAAACCCACTGATTTTTGTTCAATCTAAACTTTCTAATCATAGACAAGAGGGCCAGAAAAGTTTCTAAACCCACTGAGATAACAACAATCATAGACAAGAGGGCCAGAAACTTTCGAAAGTTTCAATCTAAACTGATTTTTGAAACAAAATCTAAACTTATTTCTAAACCCACTTATTTGGAACTTTGAAACTTTCTGGCCCTTTTTGGAACTTTATAAACCCACTGATTTTTGGAACTTTTTGTTCAATCTGATTTTTTTTCAATCTAAACTTTCTATGATTTTTGGAACTTTCTAAACCCACTGATTTTTGTTCAATCTAAACTTTCTAATCATAGACAAGAGGGCCAGAAAAGTTTCTAAACCCACTGAGATAACAACAATCATAGACAAGAGGGCCAGAAACTTTCGAAAGTTTCAATCTAAACTGATTTTTGAAACAAAATCTAAACTTATTTCTAAACCCACTTATTTGGAACTTTGAAACTTTCTGGCCCTTTTTGGAACTTTATAAACCCACTGATTTTTGGAACTTTTTGTTCAATCTGATTTTTTTTCAATCTAAACTTTCTATGATTTTTGGAACTTTCTAAACCCACTGATTTTTGTTCAATCTAAACTTTCTAATCATAGACAAGAGGGCCAGAAAAGTTTCTAAACCCACTGAGATAACAACAATCATAGACAAGAGGGCCAGAAACTTTCGAAAGTTTCAATCTAAACTGATTTTTGAAACAAAATCTAAACTTATTTCTAAACCCACTTATTTGGAACTTTGAAACTTTCTGGCCCTTTTTGGAACTTTATAAACCCACTGATTTTTGGAACTTTTTGTTCAATCTGATTTTTTTTCAATCTAAACTTTCTATGATTTTTGGAACTTTCTAAACCCACTGATTTTTGTTCAATCTAAACTTTCTAATCATAGACAAGAGGGCCAGAAAAGTTTCTAAACCCACTGAGATAACAACAATCATAGACAAGAGGGCCAGAAACTTTCGAAAGTTTCAATCTAAACTGATTTTTGAAACAAAATCTAAACTTATTTCTAAACCCACTTATTTGGAACTTTGAAACTTTCTGGCCCTTTTTGGAACTTTATAAACCCACTGATTTTTGGAACTTTTTGTTCAATCTGATTTTTTTTCAATCTAAACTTTCTATGATTTTTGGAACTTTCTAAACCCACTGATTTTTGTTCAATCTAAACTTTCTAATCATAGACAAGAGGGCCAGAAAAGTTTCTAAACCCACTGAGATAACAACA